CGTGGAAAAGCTTCCGCCGAATTAAAGCCACCGCCGAGAGTATCTAGCTAAACTAGATGGCTGGGACTCACGAGCAGCCGCTACCGCATCTCCTACAGCTTCCTCTATTTTATTTTATCCTGATTCCCAGCCATCTAGTTTAGCCCCTTTCCACGTTCCAGTTAGCGGCAGAGGGGATACGTTCGGCGGGCGCGGTGTATTCGCCTTAAAGAGGTCCGGAATTTACATATGACTGAGACCCTGTTAGGGTATTTTCCTAGCCTCGATAATTTGGGACTGTTATTAGGAGTATAGCCTACGTATGTGTGTGTGTGTGTGTGTGTGTGTGTGTGTGTGTGTGTGTGTGTGTGCGCGCGCGCGCGCGTAAAACCTTCCAAAGGCGAGTTATTATAATAATATATTTAAAATAATATCAAATATCTAAAAACAAATTTCTTTAAAAAAAAAAAAAAGTTAAAATGAATATGCAAAGTTAAAAAACTGTACATGTTTCAGTTTATATGTAATCTCTGTCTGTGAAAATTAAAGCAGCGTATAAAACGCTGGCGCAGGACAATGAGTACATAAAGATCTCGTTTAGGAATGGAAAGTTCAGTTATTTGTTACATCAGGCCACATACGATTTCAGCTAATGCGATAATTCGTTCTGTGCAATTAAACTATAATATGCTTGTCGTCCTTGATTTCATTTTCCATGCATGTTTATCTTGTTTCAATCGTTAGGGAACTGTACTTCAATGAGGTTCTTCTTGTCTAATGACAGACACTATAATTAATAAAAATGACTCTTCCATATAATTACACCATATTGTGTGTCCACAGGACATGTTCCTAAATGCATGTCTGCGTCATTCATATAAGGCTACCTTCACATAGTCTATTGTTTGACTGATTGATACTTTCTGACAGCAGAACCCAACAAATAGGAGTGCTCGTTGGAGGCGCTCTGAGTGTCACCTGACTTAAATAGGCGGGCCTGTCCAAACGTTTGCCTTTGATACAATCCCGCCCATTTACAACTCGGAACAGGTCAGCATGGGATCTCATTACAACGAGGCTGCATTTTATATGAAATTTCACAAGCAGACAGAGTATATTCTTCAGTGAAGCGAACTTTGGGGCTTGTTCAGTGTTGGGTTAACGATTTCTAACGCGAAAAATACTGAAAGTGAACTAACAGTTTGGTAAGTAATGTAAATGTGTCGTTAGCGTCTGTAGTTACCACGTTTCAGGAATGTTTAGATAGGAGGTTCTAGAACCCGGTGTTTGGGGTCGCATAGCTAGTGAAGATCCATATCAGCCGAGCAAGTTAGAACTATAACTGTTGTCCCTGATTGGGAAATCAAACTTGGTCCTCTGAAGGAGAATAGCTTTCTAATCGCTCGGCCAGTCGCCCCATACGACATGTACTTGCCTTACAAATCACTGTATCTACGGCTTTTGTAAGCCATTAGCTTTCTGTGGAATAATTATAGATACAGTTGTACCTCAGTATGTTAGCTCTGGTATACGCTCAACTTGTTATAAGTCCTGTTTAGACGCGAAATGTTTGCTTGGTAGATGACCAGTGCTTGGAAAACGAGCTTCTAGGAGTCAAAATTACTCAAGACACCACACGCTATCTTTGTTTACCTCTCTCAAGACAAAAATAATTAATATAGTTGCGCAACCTTTACACGACGTTGTAGAACCAACCACATCATTTTTTGTGTGTGATGTTCTTGTTTTTCTAGGCGAATATACATCCAGTAGTTTGCCATTTCTTTCTGGACGGCCGACTTTTCGATACCATTGTCGAAACTAACGCAATGGGCAAGATCCGTAGCTGGGATAGAACTCAGTACCCTGTCATTGCGAAGCGCGTTCGCAACGCCTAGGCCACAGACGCGGACCTCGAGACAAAGCCACAAATATATTCATTGACTGCATAGAAGTATCATCCCAACAAAGCCCAAACGTGCCGTAATAGCATTGTCTGGAATGACCATCAGTTTTACATTTTATTTTAACGTTCATCAGTTTTAGTTTCTCCTAGTGTATACCAATTTTACAGTTTCTTCTAATGTTCATCAGTTTTACAGTTTCTTCTAATGTTCATCAGTTTTACAGTTTCTTCTAATGTTCACCAGTTTTACAGTTTCTTCTAATGTTCACAAGTTTTATATTTTTTTATTATGTTCATCAGTTTTACAGTTTGTTCTGATGTTCACCAGTTTTACAGTTTCTTCTAATGTTCACCAGTTTTACAGTTTCTTCTAATGCTCACCAGTTTTACAGTTTCTTCTAATGTTCATCAGTTTTACAGTCTCTTCTAATGTTCACCAGTTTTACAGTCTCTTCTAATGTTCACAAGTTTTACAGTCTCTTCTAATGTTCATCAGTTTTACAGTCTCTTCTAATGTTCACCAGTTTTACAGTCTCTTCTAATGTTCATCAGTTTTACAGTCTCTTCTAATGTTCACCAGTTTTACAGTCTCTTCTAATGTTCATCAGTTTTACAGTTTCTTCTAATGTTCATCAGTTTTACAGTTTCTTCTAATGTTTATAAGTTTTACAGTTTCTTCTAATGTTCATCAGTTTTACAGTCTCTTCTAATGTTCACCAGTTTTACAGTCTCTTCTAATGTTCACAAGTTTTACAGTCTCTTCTAATGTTCATCAGTTTTACAGTCTCTTCTAATGTTCACCAGTTTTACAGTCTCTTCTAATGTTCATCAGTTTTACAGTCTCTTCTAATGTTCACCAGTTTTACAGTTTCTTCTAATGTTCATCAGTTTTACAGTTTCTTCTAATGTTTATAAGTTTTACAGTTTCTTCTAATGTTCATCAGTTTTACAGTTTCTTCTAATGTTTATAAGTTTTACAAATTCTTCTAATGTTCATCAGTTTTACAGTTTCTTCTAATGTTTATAAGTTTTACAGTTTCTTCTAATGTTTATCAGTTTTACAATCTCTTCTAATGTTTATCAGTTTTACAATCTCTTCTAACGTTCATCAGTTTTACAATCTCTTCTAATGTTCATCAGTTTTACAATCTCTTCTAATCTTCATCAGTTTTACAATCTCTTCTAATGTTTATAAGTTTTACAATCTCTTCTAATGTTCATCAGTGTTACAGTTTCTTCTAGTGCACACCAGTTTTACAGTTTGTTGTAATGTTCATCAGTTTTACAGTTTCTTCTTACGTTCACCACTTTTACAGTTTAATCTAATGTTTATCAGATTTGCAGTTTCTTCCGAAGTTCATCAGATTTACAATTTCTTCTGATATCCGTCAATTTTACAGTTTCTTCTAGTATTCATCATTTTTACAGTTCCCACAATCATATATTTCTTCTTAGCTACATGCTTTCCTGTTTTCATTATTTCTGCTGACGTATGTCACACTGACTGCTTAAACATACGTTAATGTTATTCCATAGAACTTATTTGTCTACATAATATAAAGTGAGTTGCGTATCCTTTAGAGTTTGTCTCTGCCTTATGTGCATCGGGCGCGCGATAAGGATTGATAGCATATCCTTTACAAAACAGCCCAAATTACACCCAGGTGTTAGTCTTTCATTAGGATTGGGAAAAAATTAAAGCAAAAAGCATGGTACCAGGAAGGAGGGCCGACCAACACGAAGATGGGCACAGGATATAAGTGACTCTTTGAGTATGAAAGTTCATGAGGCAGGAGAGCTGGCGATAGACCGAATTTCTTTCAGGCAGATGATGAGAGCGACGTTCTGCAAAGGACCTGCTACATGATGATGACAGTAGCTGTTCTTCTTTTCTGTCACATTATTTTAAGTAAATAACTTGTCGGAGTACCTTTGACGTAGTGAATTATTAATTGGGACAAGAGACAGATTCGAGTATTTGTTCTAAATGGTTGCCAAGAATCTTCTCTCATTGTCTTCCTCTGTTTTTTCTATAAAAATGTTCGTTTCTGTCATTACATCATACTATGGTCAACAAATGGCGATTTCCTTTTTATGGTGTTATTGATGAGACCTCTCATGGTCTTAACTCTGATAAAACATGTAGATTACTGATTTTTGTCTCTTAAAAGAATGTTAATGTATCCACAACTCTGTAAAACTATATCTCATGAATAATTATTGAGGTATGTTTTAGAATGTACATACTGACATTACACATTGTGCCAACGGCTACTGGACCAAGCGCATTGTGGGGGAGAAAACAAGCTTTAACTTAGGAAGAGGAAATGCAACCTGAAAACTTTGTGTTATTGCAGGACAGACCAGACCCTTAGCATTTGTTGTCAGCTAATCACTACAATAATGCCCAAGCTTTGTGCTACAGAGTTTAGGAAATTTATCCCTGGCCCTAATTAGTCTGGGGAGTCACTCTGGCGAAGCGGCTAGACTTTAGGAAGTAAAGGCGGCCGGCGTAATGCTGACCACATCACCCATCTTGTGCCGATTGATCTTTAAAAATATAGGTCTAGCCCAATATGCCCTATACGCATAAAGGCGTGGAAGAGGGTCCTTTACTTACTAACAAGTCTGAAAAACAATTCGAAAGAGTTACTGTTTATAAATCCTTGTTAATTGGTGTAGGCGAGGGCGCCACGGGCTGACTGTGGGACACATTTCGACGGGAGCGGACCTTACTAGTTTCAACCACCATCGCTGTTGACAGTAATGTCCATATCGTCTGAAACATTCACTAAAGATGGTAAACTGGACGAAGAAATTGATTTCCGATACAGTAAAGCTGGTACGATAAGATCAGAGAAACTCTACAGCACTACTATGTGTCTATAATCGAAGCAGCCAGAGCACGAAGCAAGACCTTATATCTCCCTCGACACCCGTAGTGGTAAAAGAGGAAGTAAAGTAGAAGAAGAAGAAGTCTGATAAGAACGAAAATGTACCAACAACAACACAGCCAAACATTACAATTAGTTACAAGTAATGTGTAGTAATTATTTATGTAACCACAAATGACTGGAATTTATTACGTAAGATTCACTTCATTTCATAACAGAAGATGGAGGAGCAAGAATGGACGGGACAATCTGATCCCCATGATGGTGAGACTAGTAAACACAGCCGATGGTCGGAACACTGTAAAACATTTCTTATCCGAGGTAAGATAAGTATAAGCATTTACTTATTTAATATCGCTCATCGACATTAACCTTTTCACTCAATAATGAATTCCATAAATATCTCAGCAGCTCAATTGCATTAGATCATCCTGATCATCATAAATTTCATCTGCCGTTTAGCGAAGTGGGGAGGAACAATTTCAGATCCAATGCACACTGGCTGGCACTGGCTATTCTCAAGCCATTAGGCTTGTAAAGTGTCTTTAATTTTAACGATCCCTCCGCATTCGATACATACAGTAACAGCTCTACCACAAATTCTTCTTTGTTCACCGGCTATATACTCCTTCGGAAAGTCCATTTGCCTTTGTACCAGGCCTGAGTTTTGCGTGCACATCCGTTCTACTGGCTTATTTGTGTGTAGCTGGTTGTTCCTTGCCGTCAGGCTGATGCACTCCTGCGACATTCTTGTTGCGTAGGCAGTGGGTCCATTCTTTTTTTCCCCAGAAAGGAGCCCGTGAACCCACAAGGGGGAACCACACATTCCAAAAAAACTAAAAAATCTTGAGTTTGTTTAGAAAATTTATGCTAGCCGGGGGAAATAATAATAATAATAAGTCCCTGCTGGGACTGAAAGTTTATTCATATTAACCAAATGTTCTTCTTAAGCGAATTCGTGTTAACAATATTGTACTGTAATACATAAAACAGTTTTTGTAGCCTTATGGTTAGTTCGCTTGAATAGCCGGACAATGATTCGGATTTGTTCGCTAGAAGTTCCCGTGTGGGTTTCGGGGATCCATATTCGGGGAAGAGGAATATACCCACTACCCCTAACAAGCATGTCGCAAGAAGTGTTTCCTTGGAAGTCGGAGTGCATCTGCCTCAGAGGCAGAATTAATCACATTTTGTTACGTTGCGAAGGGAAGTCTTGCCATATTCTCTTAAAAGAAGGGGGGGGGGGGTTGAAAAAGGGGGGGGGGGGGTCTTGCAATATACTCAAGGCAGTGCGCCCTGAAAAAGGTCGGATACCACTGAAAGACATATCGGGAGCTGCATGTGATAGCAATATACAGGTAATTTCACATACCTTGTTCAACCTCTAACAAAAATTATAAAAAAGCAATTGTAATGGCGGATGTTGAGTGTACAAATCTGTTACGTAGGGAATATTAATTTGACATGATTTTATTCTTGTGAAAATCATCTGCAGATTCACAAGGATTAGAAAACTGTACCTCAAATTGTTACCAAGAAGATTTAAAATTAAATAATTTGTACATAGGAAAATGAAATGTACAGTTATTTTGATTAAAAGATACATAAATTGTTTTTTTTAATAAAAACTGGGCCTTATATAATTTGCAACAGAACTAGAAGAATTAAATCTGATGCGATTTGTTACAAACATCTTCTTTATTCTTTTCCCGTTTACTTATGTCTCAAAGCGTTGCATAGTGGAGTTATATGTAGTGTTCTGATCTTTTTGCTGGTTGCATAGCTTGTGTTTTTGTCATATTGCGTTTTGTAGTGCCCCCCTAACCCCCACTCGCCCCAACCCATCTCTATCTTGGCCGGCCTCCGAACCTCTGGCCTGTTGTTCTCGTGTAGCTGCTCCCTGATATTGCTCCGTTCCGAGCAGACGACTAAATCATTTGATTCTCTGATATTTTATTAATAAATTTTAGGTTAAACAATTTTGAGTTAAAAATCTACTCAAAGCAATTTAGGATCCTTGCCGGTGCAACAGAGCCAATGCACTGTGCTGAGCTTTTTCTGACTCAGACTTGAGTTAGAAGAAGAATGAAGCACTTATGGGTTACTACCCGTGTGCCATGATGTTCATGCGTTGTTCAAAACCTCAAAAAGACCTGTTTTATTGAATCTTTCAATGTTTGTCCTGTCGAATTTCTTATATATAAATATAATGTCATATTGCTACGAACTTGTAGGGCTAAATATAACACGATTTTCTGAATCACAAAATTATACATCAGAAAGTTTGCTGTTTCAAAAACTAAACTCTAAGGTTAATTTAACCCCTTTGAGAAAAAAAAAAAGCCTGTGTTTGTTCATATGCTATAATCTATTAAACTCCTTAGGATGAACATATGAAATGCTGTGTAAAGTGTGAACGGAAATTTTCATTTTTGAAAAGCCGCAACTATATAAACAATTAATTCATTACGCTATTATCTGCCATTATATATATACATATATATCCTGTTCCAAAGCTAAGATTCTCTGTCAATGCTGGCAAGAAAAATTGACACCTCAGCTGAGACTGAACTGGGAGAGGCCAATTTTATGGCACTTTACAGAGACAGAGAAAGACAAGGGAGACAGAAGTGATCATGAAGAGACTGCAGACAATGTGTATCCGGGATCACAAAACGGGTTTAGAGCCAAGATATCAACAGTGGACAAGACTTTCTCGAACAAGCAGCTACAAGAAAGGAAGCAACATAAATCACTGTTAATTGTCTTCATAGTACTCACTAAAGTGCCAGTTAGGGCTGATATTTCAAACATTCTGTAAAACCATGCTAAGGTTTATACCTGAAAAATCCCATCAGTCACTGGTTGATTGCATATATTTAAACTTCTTCTTCTTCGCTTTCACCGGCTGTAAACTCTGGCAGAAAGTTCTGGCTGTTCGTCCACTTCTGGTCTGCGGTCCTATTCAAGAACCTGAGTTTTGCATGCGCATCCGTTTTACAGATCTAACTCATCTGTATGTAGACTGTTGGTTCCTTGCCTCTCAGGTAGATGCATTCTGACTTCGAAGAAAGCTTCCAATAAGTCCACTCTTGAAATATGTCTTTGGGTAGGCAGTGGGTCTATTCTTTTATCCGCCATTATAGGGCCCTGGAATCCACAAGGGGATCAATCATATTTTAACTGTTGAAAATGATTAGGGCCGGATGCATCGAATGACAAAGATAATTTTTAATGTGTAGGGGATTGCAGTGGTTGACACATTTGCCCCTAGCTCAGTGGCCCTACATTCAAACCGACATTCAGGCTGTTATTTTTTTAAAACCGATTTCACATTGTCCAGCATCCTTCTCCAGGTCTTTTCTGTTGCATCCAAATTCGATTATGAGTATGACGCGCTACCTAATGCGCTACCGCGGCCCTTCTTCTTCTGAGTTGAGTGCATGGCGTGACACTGTGAGCTACGTGTTTTTTTCGTTGGCACAGGAGTGGAGCAATTATGGGGTGACCCGTTTGCTATGAAGCTGAAACTAGGATTACCAGATCCAATTACGAATTCTTGGGGACTGCATGTGATATGATTGATCAAGCCATATTCTTTTTTTCTACAGCCCATGCCGTGTGGCGTTGGCAGTCTTGTCTATGCCCAGACGTCTGTCTCGTGTGCTTCAGTCACTTATAACACAGAAAATGCGTGGCTCTACACCCTTCATAGAGGCACGTGACCTTCTTATTTAAAATCCACTGGCAATAAGAACGAAAAGAAGTGGAAGAAAAGACAGATTGTCTTCCATACCACGATGTCAAACTGTCTAGCATCCTCTCTCTCTTTCTCTCTGTGTGTGTGTGTGTGTGTATGTGTATGTGTGTGTGTGTGTGCGTGTGTGGGTGTGTGTGTATGTGTGTCAGCTGCCTCTTTCCCCCTCCAACTTTCCCACTATCACCATGTTCTTCACTTTTCTCCTTCTTATATTATAACCAAAGATAGTAGATTGCCTGTTTCTGATGTGGACAGACAATTTTCTTCGAGGGTCAGTTCCTCTGAAGACATCTTTATTACTCCTTTTAATCCGTCCACGGTATTCTAATCATTCTTCTATAAAACCATATTTCCACCGTTTGCAAATAATTTTTGCTAATCTCCAATTTTGCATGATTCACTTCCGCATATCAGGACATGTTTTATATAGCTCGTGAGATTTTTCTTTTTCATCTCAGTTGATAAAGAAAGATTGCATAGTATATTCTTTGTTCTGTGAAATGCTGCAAATGCTTGAGCCAGTCTACGTTTAACTTCCTTAATAAATATTGTATCTAATGTTATCAGATCTTACATCTGATGTTATCAGATCTTACATCTGATGTTATCAGATCTTACATCTGATGTTATCAGATCTTACATCTGATGTTATCAGATCTTACATCTGATGTTATCAGATCTTACATCTGATGTTATCAGATCTTACATCTGATGTTATCAGATCTTACATCTGATGTTATCAGATCTTACATCTGATGTTATCAGATCTTACATCTGATGTTATCAGATCTTACATCTGATGTTATCAAGGTCCCCATTTACCCTGATACCCTAATCAATTTGCTCGAAATTACTGTTAATTCTGTTTTTCTGCTGATCAAGCAATAAAGAAAAACCCCACATTTGATTGATTATAATGATAGAACATAAACTTATATGTAAGTGTGTGTACACACACACACGCATATATATATATATATATATATATATATATATATATATATATATATATATATATATATATATACGTGTGTGTGCTTGCGAATGTGTTTGAGTGAGAGAAGCTGGGGTTTGTCACTTTAATGCTTTTTAAATTTATGCAACTTCTTGTTGTCCAAGCGCTTTCTATTTGCGAAAAAACACTCTCTATACAACACTATGGGAAGTACCCGGTGTAGCTGCTAGATGCTCGCCTGTGGAACCGAAGGTAGTGGGTTCAAATCTGAAGGGAGCCTGGCTTCAATAAAAAATGGCACTTGGCTTGCAGGTCGACCTAGCCTTAAATGGGTAAAAAGTAAAGTGCGTGCATGATGTTGACCACATTACCTGCCAAGTGCCGAAGGGTTTTTATACAATATAGGCCTAGCCCTGTGTGCCCAGTACTCTTGAAGGAGTGGAAAAGGATCCTTTACTTACACACCCTACATCATAGCCGAGGAGCGGCTGGCCGAACGGTTACAACGATGGCAAGAGACCCGGGTTCGAATCCTCGGTAAGATTTGAGACCTGCAAAGTCGTGGAGACAATACCAGTCATACGACCGTAAATCAGGCTCAAAGAATCCCCCCTCCTCCCCGCCCCAAACCGTTTGCACCGCAGATGTGGTATAAAAAAAAAGCAGCTGACATTATAGCCGAATAAGTTACAGGGGCATAACGCTTATTTTTTTCAATTGAACCTTTCGATTCGCGCTTACCTGTCTTTGGACAAAATGTTTGTGTATATATATAAATATATATACATACATATATACATTTGTATATACATATTTTTGAAAACTTACTCCAGCTGTTTTGTTTCATATAATTTTTTTTTCACTTAGTATTAGAGAAGATTTGTTCTTGATAATTGAAAAAGTTGGACATTTACTGTTAGACCAACATTAGACTACATGTTAGGTCGTAACGTCTGGGTGCCGCAATCACACTGTGAAGTAGGGTTGAACAAGGTTTTTGAGTTACAATCTCATTCAAATAGTGTAACTCTTCCAGAGTAGGTGGCGATCAATATATAACATTATTGTGTTTATGTGTAAAGGAGTGTGTTTTTTGTGTGGTAAGATTGGGGGGTGGGGGGGGGGGGGTTGATGTTGTGTCTTCAGAACATTAACCATCATTGTTGTATTATTAAGTTGACCAAAATTAATATTTAACAAGAAAATTATAATGAAACTTTATGATTTTCTAAACAAACTAAATGAATAAATAAATTAAAAAAAAAAATTAAAAAAAAAATTATAATAAAATAAGAATAAATAAAAATTGTTAGTCTCGTATTGACTAAATCAGTACATTTTCAGTTGATCTCTCTCTCTCTCTCTCTCTCTCTCTCTCTATATATATATATATATATATATATATATATATATATATATATATATATATATATATATATATATATATATATATATATATATATATATATATATATATATATATATATATATATATATATATATATATATATATATATATTTATTATATATATATATATAGTATAATATAATGAGTATTATTCTGAGGCACAGCTTGCCCGCGCTTTCGCTCGCTCGCAGTCTCTCTCTCTCTCCCTCTCTCCCTCTCTCTCTCTCACTCTGTGCGTGTATGTGTGTGTGAGTGTGCGTGTGTGTGCGTGTAGCTGTGGCTATTGCTGTATATCTTGACAAGGGGTTCTGACCAAAACTAACGGGAATCCAGGCTGTGCTAGCATGAAAAATCGTGACCGAAGACCAGACAAAAGGCTACATTACCCAGTTGGGCGGTAAAACTATAGGCATCTGCTTTGGTGTATTGTGTGAAGAAGATGGGGCACAGATAGGATTCTCCTGAGTGTGTTGACTTTGGTGTTGGTTAATAAATTCGTACAATGATGTTACACGCTAAACAAACATGCACACACGAACGAGCACACCCACATGTACACACACACCCCCCCATTTAACATCTGCTGCATTCTCATTTTAATATCTCCCAATGCCCAGTTGTATAGCTGACATTTTTCACGCTTTTTGATCAACAAAAGAAGAGTTTTGGCCAACAAAATGGCAAGTTGTCAGACAGCAGTTTGGCTTGACAAGTAAAAACTATCTGCGTGGTTATTGTCAAGTCTCACAGCTGGTGAAGAGAATTCACAAAAGGACGTTTCACTTGACTTGGATCAGAATCTTGGCTCTCAACAATTGTAAATTCAAGCTGTAGAATTACAGCAATTCTATTATTCAAGATCTAATGTTGTAATGTTGGTCCTCTGATAAATCTGGTTCTATAAAATGTTTAACAGTCAAGGCTTAAGAATAATGCAATCTTATTAAGGAAGATCGACCTTAGTGATAATTATATTTATATACAATATACAAAGATACAGGGGACGAACTGGTTCAGCGGCTTATCTTGTGGACTCGGGTCTTCGTTTCACAAACACAAGTAGTTCGTGAATCATGGGGATCGTTACTTGAGCTTCGGAATTTCGCAGAAAGCAGGACAGAGCAAGTGTCACAAAAATGTTTTCAATGCGCAGTCTTCGAAGGTCCAGACAGATAGTACCCACTTTGAGAATGGCGGAGAGTAGAATCTTTTAGATTATTTTCTAAAGAGAATTACAGATGGGCAGTAGTTGTGGAGGTCAGGTCCATTGCGATATGAAGATGTGTGCATATATGATACACGCACTGACATGTATTCGTTTGAACAGGATGTCGTGAGGCGGAAAAAGGGGGAGGGGGTTGGGGAGATTAGGAATGGAATATAGATAAGGGAGAAAAAGAATGCAGATAGTCTAAGACAGGGCAGATGGTCTAAGACAGGGTGGATAGTTTGTTACAGGGCAGATAGTTTGAGACAGGGCAGATAGTCTAAGACAGGGCGGATAGTTTGGGACAGGGCAGATAGTTTGAGACAGGGCAGATAGGTTAAGACAGGGCGGATAGTTTAAGACAGGGCAGATAGTTTAAGACAGGGCAGATAGTTTAAGACAGGGCAGATAGTTTAGGACAGGGCAGATAGTTTAAGACAGGCCGGATAGTTTAAGACAGGGCAGATAGTTTAAGACAGGGCAGATAGTTTAAAACAGGGCAGCTAGTTTAAGACAGGGCGGATAGTCTAAGACAAGGCGGATAGTCTAAGACAGGGCAGATAGTTTAAGACAGGGCGGATAGTCTAAGACAGGGCGGATAGTCTAAGACAGGGCAGATAGTTTAAGACAGGGCTTTTCAACTAAGTTTACTCAGGGGCCCTAATTCTGAAAACGGTATCGTCACGGGCCAGAGCCCCAGCGTAGAAACATTATTAATATATTGTTAAAACAAAATAAACCAGAACTACTGAAAGGATCATTATACTAAACATTTTGACATTCTGCATCTTTGTAATACAATAAGCGAGATTACTGAAATTTCACACAAGAATACATTGTGGTTCCACCAATCAATTGATCCGTTTTTTTTTTCTTTCTGGATCACGATATTTTTTAGGCGTACTGTCTTTCAGGCTAGTATGGTCTGGGGCCTTCCCTTGCGTGGATCATTGACTGGCATATCCTGGTCATGGATGCGATCAGACGTCTGATGTGAGCCTGTGGGATGGCTGCCCACTCTTCCTAGAGTGCCTGGAACAGATTACGACTATTAACTGGAGCAACGTCTCGGCGACAAACACGTCGTTGCTGCTCACCCTATAGGTGCAAAATCGAACTCATTTCTGCAGACGGAGATGACCAGGGAAAGGTTTGAAAGACATTTGCTCCCAGGTCGGTCCAACCTTGAATGCTCACCAGGTAGAGTCCTGGGAAGTAAAGGTGGAAGTCAGCGTGATGCTGACAACATAACTCACCAAGTGCCAATTGTTCTATAAAAGCAGTTCTAGCCCTATATGCACAGTACGCTTGGAGGTCTAAAAATTGTCATATACGTTACTTACATCACGGCCTTCTCTATTTATATACAGATGGACCTGCTTACATATACTAGGTAAATGGACGATACAATGCTTACAATGCAAATTGTGTATTAACATGTACCAATAAAACTTACTGGCAGCAATGTTTAGAATGCGCTTTGTAGCTTCACATTAAAAGTAACATTTACAACGGATTTGTAGCTTTACTAGTACCATTACAATCTACAGATTCCCATGGAGCTGTCAAAGAACTTGTCTTTCCTAGGGCTCTAGACCTGGACAGACCAAAGCGGGAGCGAACTATCTTTTCCAGCCGTCAGTTGGGTTGTCTGGAGGAAGAGTTCCAAAAAAATCAGTACCTTGTTGGGAAAGAGCGATCAGCAGTTGCCAAACAGTTGGGTCTTTCGGAAACACAGGTGGATAAATTTGAATTATCTGTAATTTTCATAATTAGTAACTTACATCCATGTCATATCATACAAACTCAGTGTTGTTAAAAATCTGTAATACCCTTTTCCTCCCTAAAATTTGCTGGCGTGAATACGTATATCATATTATAGTACATTAAATTATTGATATCGGTGGAATTTCTTTCCACATAACAAATTAAAAATTTTTCTTAGACATCACTGAGACATGTGTGGGTACCGTACCCTAATTGGGGAAAGGGGGAGGGGGAGTACACCAACTGCCCTTCAAACATGTCCTAAATGTCCATTAATTAAGGATTTGCAGAAGTCGCATCTATTTTAGTGAAAGGCAAAAATATTGCAGCCTTACTGGGAGCCAGAACATTTAAAATGCCAAACACTCCTTTGAGGGCAAACGTAGAAGAAAAACAAAACTGGCGATTCTTACGTGATTCTGGACCTGCTTAGATAATTAACGGGACTTCGTCTATGGTCAAAACATGACTGGCACGTCCACGTCTTGACGTTGCAAACTAACACCATCGCGTGCTGTCTGTTGTTTGGTTTCATTAGATAATTATGTTCTTATTTTATATCAAAGCATACGAAACGTAGAACAGACAGCTTCCGATTATCATAATCACTAACGGCAAATAACCGTTGCGGCAAGAAAACCTTCAACAGAAGATAACATGAACAGGGAATTTTACATTTGCAATTAAAATAGTAATTTAAAAAAATAAAAGAGTGCAGACGACTTAAACGGGACACAAACAGATAGGGCGGGTGGGGTGGGGGGAGAGATCCGACTCAACGCAGATCTAAAACAAAGACATTCGGAAAAGCAGGCAGTTAACTACGTTACCACGGCTGCCACAATTTGAATGACTGCCGTATAAATCATTTTATTTCATCTTTCTTATTAATCACCGTCACATATTTTTTTATATCTCATTTCAGGTAAAAGTCTGGTTTCAGAACAGAAGGACAAAACACAAGAAAGACAATGAACGAAGCGGCGAAGGCAAGGATTTTCAAGCAGAGAGCAAAGCTGCCCGGAATGTCCTAAAGTTACTTGAGTACAAGACAGCACTTAGCTACAGCTCATTACTAAGCCAGCCACCCACACAGCTAGACACCTTCCGAAATATATCCTCCAACAGCAGGAGTTTTCTAATGCTCCAAAGCCCCAATAAAACTGTTGAAAAAGAACAAACACTTGATGCGAATTTGAAGCCGCAAGATAATAAGTTAGATCAGTCACCAAGGCAGATTAGAGGTGCGGAGTTCAATGCTCTGCTTCCAATGACTCGTTCGCAGGCTGCTACTAAAAACGTACTTTCTATCACAGACATGATTACCGACGATGTTTCCGTAGACATGGCACCAAACAGCTCATCTGTTAGCGGCAGCTCCGAATCGTTTCAGAACTCTAGTGATGATTTACTTCATCAAGGCATAGATCATTATAATGAGACAGAGACTGAGATAATAAAGACCCGTGGAGGTACGGAAGGTTCCAGTTTCAAGACAACAGATTTTGTCAAAAACAAGAGATTTCAGATTGATAACTCATATTGTGTGGATAAGTTACTGAACTATGCAGATCTGCAGACAGACAGCACTGCCAGTGGAGATCAGTCACCGGATGATTCAACAAATCCGGATGAATGCATTCTTCAAGTCAAAGAAAAGTGTCATGAGGTAGGCAATCAGTTTTTCTTTGAAATATTTGGTTTACCTGTTCGGTTGTTAAATTTTAATGTTCTTGCTACCTACCATACACTGCAACGTAAAAGTCGAGTTTCAATACATAAAAGACTTTTCAAAATTAGGGGTAGGTTTATATTGCAGCTATAAAATTGATTAGTTAGATATTGGCTTAACGCAGAATATGGAGCTGAAAACATTGAGATCGACTGAAATACCAGGTTCACTGGTACGCTGTCATTTACCGTAATTATTGTTATATGTTCACTGCTTGATAAAGGCGCTGACGTTTTAAATGCTCTCTTTTATCCGCGGGTTGCTGTCATATAATCGAGCTTCCTGAATGTAAGATGGGTTCAATATTCCGTCTTCTGTATATACGCTACCGTGTGGGTTCCGTTCCGGGGACCCATTGGGGGGGGGGGGGGACACAAGAATTGACCCACCCCCTCCCTAACATGCATATCGTAGGAGTCGACTAATGAGGTTTTTCCCTCGAAGTCGGAGTGAGTCTGTCTGCAGGCAAATGAAACAGCCTACAATACAAATAAGCCAGATCTGTAAAACGGATGTGGACGCAACACTCAAATCCTGGAAGAAGACTAAAGTCCAGAAATTAACGAACACCCGTAACTTTCTCATGAGTTTACAGCTTTGAACTCAGAGAGAGAGAGAGAGAGAGAGAGAGAGAGAGAGAGAGAGAGAGAGAGAGAGAGAGAGAGAGAGAGTGTGTGTGTGTGTGTGTGTTTATTGTTAGGACTCGTGCATGTATTGTTAGAATTAGTTAATATGCAACCTATTTTGATTAGTGCATTTGTCACTTGTTAGGATTTGTGAATGTGCCCCTGATTATGATTAGTGCATTTGTCTCTTGTTAGGATTTGTGAATGTGCCCCTGATTATGATTAGTGCATTTGTCACTTGTTAAGATTTGTGAATGTGCCCCTGATTATGATTAGTGCATTTGTCACTTGTTAGGATTTGTGAAATTGCCCCTGATTATGATTAGTGCATTTGTCTCTTGTTAGGATTTGTGAATGTGCCCCTGATTATGATTAGTGCATTTGTTTCTCGTTAGGATTAGTGAATGTGCCCCTGATTATGATTAGTACATTTGTCACTTGTTAAGATTTGTGAATGTGCCCCTGATTATGATTAGTGCATTTGTCACTTGTTAGGATTTGTGAATGTGCCCCTGATTATGATTAGTGCATTTGCCACTTGTTAGGATTTGTGAATGTGCCCCTGATTATGATTAGTGCATTTGCCACTTGTTAGGATTTGTGATTGTGCCCCTGATTATGATTAGTGCATTTGTCACTTGTTAGGATTTGTGAATGTGCCCCTGATTATGATTAGTGCATTTGTCTCTTGTTAGGATTTGTGAATGTGCCCCTGATTATGATTAGTGCATTTGTCACTTGTTAGGATTTGTGAATGTGCCCCTAATTATGATTAGTGCATTTGTAACTTGTTAGGATTTTTGAATGTGCCCCTGATTATGATTAGTGCATTTGTCACTTGTTAGAATTTGTGAATGTGCCCCTGATTATGATTAGTGCATTTGTCACTTGTTAGAATTTGTGAATGTGCCCCTGATTATGATTAGTGCATTTGTCTCTTGTTAGGATTTGTGAATGTGCCCCTGATTATGATTAGTGCATTTGTCTCTTGTTAGGATTTGTGAATGTGCCCCTGATAATGATTAGTGCATTTGTCACTTGTTAGGATTTGTGAATGTGCCCCTAATTATGATTAGTGCATTTGTCACTTGTTAGGATTTTTGAATGTGCCCCTGATTATGATTAGTGCATTTGTCACTTGTTAGAATTTGTGAATGTGCCCCTGATCATGATTAGTGCATTTACTGATTGTTGAGATTAGTGAATATATTAGAATTAGTGCATTTATTCCAAGTATGGGATCCCAAAAGAGTACTAGACGGAAAAAAAGTAATTAACACAGCAAGAGGCAAAACACAGAACACATAGTTCAGGACAAGTGCACTAATCTTTGAGCCACCTATTTAGGTACAGTTGCTCGTAAGTGAAATTAATTTTATTTTGAAAACATTGGAAATGAATTTTATTTTCAAAACAATGGAAATGAATTTTATTTTTGAAACATTGTTATTTATTAATTTTGTTGAAATTTATTATTTTGCAGGAAATTCTGACCCGCGTGCTTAACAAGAGACAAGGAAATAAAGAAGTCCCTCACGCCTATACAAGATTTCATCCATATCCTGGTCTCACACACCCTGTAATAGAAGCTTCATTGGAAACATGGAGACATCAAGGACATGCATGTAATTCAAACACTACTTCCAGCAGGCCTCCACCATCGGAAGCATGTATACAGGAGAATAGGCCCTGGGAAGATCACAGGGCAGTTCTCGGCACTTCTTCGAACATGACAACTTCACGAAACATTCAAACAGGAACGTTTCCAACTTCTTTTAACAATAGGTCAATAGGACATTATTTTTCAAATTTAATGAACTGCCCAAGTAATATTAACAGCGCGTATTTGTCATATCAACCATTAATAGGTAATCAAGGCCAAGTTTCACACAGTCTGCATTTGCCCCATGCCAAGCATTATAATTATTATGTGCCTAGTTTTTATGATCATGGAGTAAATGAAACCTCGACACGTCTGCAGATCTTACAACATGCGCCTGTTGGTAACTGTTATCAAGATGGACAAGAGAAAATATCGTATTCATCTTATACAATGAACACTCCTCAAGTCAGTTTTCTGTCGCCGCCCACTGTTCATGGGTTGCCGTCACATTATCACGGATACCACGCTGGCCCTCCCTTCACATAAGTAGGGATACTCTTTATATTGTACATTACTAGATCACTAGGAGAGATCCCAACCAAGCACACATACACACAGCTACGCGCGCACACACACACACACTCAATTCAACGATTTTTATGGACTCAAGATATTTTGGAGACTGACATGAAGAAAACACGCCAGATGTGAAAGAACTCACAAATGCGATCTATTGATCTTTCAGACTAGAAATCACATACTAAAGGCTTTACCTAGACAGTCACAGTAAAAAGTAATGGACCCTTTTCCACTCCTTTCAGGCGTATTGTGTATACAGGGCTAGAACTATTTTTTATAGACCAAAGGGCACTTGGCTGTTGATGTGGTCAGTATCACACCGACCGCCTTTACTTCCAAGGACTGTACCTGGTATCCACTGTAGGCTGGGTCGACCTGGAAGCTAAGGTAATTTTTGAAAAATATTCGGCCTCCACCAGAAACCGAACCCACGACCTTTTGATCCGCAGCCGAGCATCTAGCCGCTAGACCAGGGCGGCTCCCTAACTAAACAGTTAGAGTAATTAAACTTGGATATTGTTCAATCATTCAAAGGCAACGTAAATCAAGGGTAGCCTACAATACCCAAAAAAGGACGATGGAGAGATAACATATAGGTAAATCTACACACACTTGGAATGAATGTTGAATTAGGAATCGACATGATAGCACTCGAGACACCGCCACAAGCGCTCCGTCTCTGTAAACATGAGGCACGGTCACAAGAATCTACGTCAGGGTAACGTCTATATTACAATATTGAAAACATTGCTACCGTTGGTACAGCTGTTACTATTACCGTCACCACAACCACCACCACAATTACTGTTGCTGCTTACATTACATCTATATGATTGCCTGTTTCTTTGTATGTTTCTTTTGATATTCTTATTATATGCAACCAAAAGCTCGTCTATGCAAACTTATTTCATTAATTTTTTTTCTTTTTTTAATTTTTCATATATAAAAAAGGAAAGGCTACTTTCTTATGCTCATGGAGTATTTGTTGCTACACCAAATTTGTATACTTGGGTGACGTGATCAGTATCACACAATCTGCCTTTATTTTCAGTACATTTCGTGGTAGCCGTTTGCAATTGGGTCGACCAATTTTAGAATGCACCGCTTTGATGGGATTTTGAAAACAGCAGAACTTGCAGACAAGCTTGTGAAACTATGCTTGTCTACAACTGTTATTAATCACAAAATGTATGTTATATATTTATCTCCCTCGTGTACGTTGTTTAAAAAGGGCAACTGGAGCATGATAACCACATGGAAGTTGTCCTTCCTAATACGTCTTCTTGGCTATGGAACCTGGAGTACAACTGAAAGAGACCAAGCCTTATTACAATTGGTCGCAGGTCCCGAGTTAAAGCCTCGGTGAAGGCAGGGATTTTTCACTCGGACTTCTAGTAATTTCCCCTGGTCTCTGGGAAGTAAGATCGGAAGCACATGTGTGTAGTGTGCGCACGTAAGAAATCCATTGGCAGTTGGAAATCGAAACGAGTAGCCTAACAGTGCTGCCTGGGCAAATATTTGGAGTTAAAAATCCACCTAAAGTATTTCAGCATCCTCACCAGTGAAACGGAGTTCGTGCACTGCGCTGAAAACCCGTAGGCTTGATGTAGACCTAGAAAGGAGCACTTATGGGTTACATCCTTGTTCCAAAATGTTGATCTGTCGAATGAACATAAAAATAATGAACATAAACAATTGTTTTGAAAACAGTCTCTGTACGCATTGTGGGTAGGGTGACTATACCATCTGGAGCTGCAAACGCACTTCCTGCTACTATGACGTGCTAATGTCCGACTGATATTTTGTGATGAAAACTGATGTCATAAGCAAATCAGTCTCTTCCCCCTCCCCAGCCAAACCCCTTTGTTATTTCTAGGTCACCGGGCTGAAGGGGTAAACTGTGGAACTACACTGAAGCTTAACTTATATATTGACATAATTTCTTTT